GACAGGGTCACTATGAGTCAGAACTGATTCATTGGCACTTAACAACTTTACAGAATATACACTAGTATAATGTGTAGACAACCAAAGATGCAAAACATGATTATGAGGGACACACAGTCTGAAAGGGAAAGGAGGGAAGTAAAGACCACCATCTCAACATCCCTTAGACACTGGGAATCTGTACCACAGACTACTGAGGCTTAATATGACCACTGCATGGGGCAAATCCATGGATGTGATAGCTCTACCAAATGGGACAAAAGAACCATGAAGACAAGTCAACACCATGATCTATAAAGTAAGTCAGGATCCTCTAACAATACTTACATATATCCCTTTCTTCACTCCCTTGACTCAACAAGGGGGCTTCAAAAAGTTCATAGAAAAATTCTCTTTTTTTCAAAATGGTATTTGTCCATGTACTTTTTGAAGCCCCCCTCATACTAGTCGTCATACTTGAAAAGCCGATTTACTTCCAGGCACTACAACTTGTCCCTAATCACTTCATTGTTCTCACAGATCTCAGCATTCCGACAACACTTACTCTCCGTACTACCCTGTAGGACTTCACTTGGAGACCCCATGGCAGGTACAAACAGTTAACCCACTGGCTGATAACTGAAAGGTTGGTGGTTCGAGTCCATTCATAGGTACCTTAGAAAACAGCCCTGGCAATGTACTTCCAAAAAAAATGGAACACAGTTGACTTGACAGCAACTGATTTGTTTTAGTTCTCTATTTTTGAAATATTAAAAAACATTTTCTACCCAAATTATTAAACATAATATAAAATAGCAATCCTGCTATGGCACTGTGGGCTAGACTTCGAAGTCAGTTTGAATCACAAAGTCAGCAGTTCAAGCTCATCAGTCAATCCTAGGAAACCCTATGCACTGTTGCTAAGGGTTGGAACCAACTTGACAGTGCGTAACAACAACATAAAATAAGAGGAAATCATATCAACTGGTCATAATTTTTAATAAAACTGTATCGGGGTGACAAACACTTTACCCTCTGTCCTGGGGTGGCACTGTGGGTTAATGTGCTGGACTGCAAAGTCACTTTGAACTGTACGTAAGGTCAGTGGTTCAAACTCACTAGCTACCCCTCAGAAACCATATACAGGGTTACTATGGGTTGGAATCAACTGGATAGCACTTAGCAACAAAAACAACTGGTGGCTACCATTTAAAGGTTGGCATTCAAACTCACAGCTGTATTGTCAACAAAAAAGGTGGTGATCTGTGTCTGCTAAGATTTTTTATTTTAACTCATACGACCCCAAAGAGCAGTTTGTGGGTTTGAACCTCTGAGCTTGTGGTTCCCAGTCCAGTGCTGATCCTACAGCACCACACCAGAAGTCCTCTGTTAAGATTACAACCAAGAAAATTCTATGTAGCAGTTTAATGCTGTAATACATGAGCTCACTATGACTCAGAATCAAGTCAACAGCAATGAAAAACACCACCAACAAGAGATGGATCTGTTCCCAAAGTAAATTTTAATTTCTCCCACAGATCATCCTGGATCTTTTACAGCAGGGCGAATGGAAGGAAGCAAGATGTGAAGAACGGGTATGTAGCATTCAAAAGTACAACTAGGTCTTCAGAGGCAAGAGCAAAACTAGTGACGCTGAAATGTGTGTAATGAGTCTGAAGAGGGCCAAATTTCTGTGGAAACATCTATTTTTCCACCAAACTACTGGGGTGTGGCGCTGTGGGTTAATGCGCCAGACTGCAAAGCCCTTTGAACTGCAAGATCAGCAGTTCAAGCTCACCAGCTGCTCCTCAGAAACAGGGTCACTATGGGTTGGAACCGACTCGACGGCACTTCACAACAACAACAACTGGGTTGAAATGACTAACTTTAAGGAGCCTCTTTTGTAAAGCTTTGCTAGTGCTTCTGAAAACCCCTTAGGCACCGCGCATTTATACGGCTCCCAGTTTCATTTTGTTTCTTCTTCTTTCTCACTCACTGGCTCCTCTTCCCATTACACCCAGGAGACTGACACAGATTCCCGGCTGAGCCTAAGCAGTCACAGTCACCCTGAATGTATGGTCCCAGGTAAACTGTGTCTGTCTGATTCTATTCCTTCCTGGATAGACTTGGCTTTGCGCTCACTCCAGAAGCAGGTTTGTGTCTCTTCCTGAGCAGAAGTTGGCTCAGAACAAGGAAATTTTCAACTCTGTGTTCTTCTTTAGCTGCTCTTTCACTCTGAAATAAGCAAACTATGTGAGACAAATGTTGAATTTGGAAAGCACTTTCCAGTATACAACATGTTTCCACCTCCGTTACTATCTCTAGTTCTCAGAAGAATTTAGCAAAGTTGGCATGATCACCTCCATTCAAAGACAGATGGCGGACGGTGAGGCGCTTGCAGCCTCCACTGTTAACAGAGGGGCTGCTGTCCCAACAGCCGGTGTTTTTTTTTCTATTCTTAAGTCCCCAGATGTTTTTTCCTACCAAAGTCCTGCTATTATGCTTGTTTCAAAAATGCAAATTCCTCTCTAAGAAATGTGTTAGGAATAATGTGAGCATAATGCAATGTTTCACTTAAATTACATGTAGCTACACACAAAGCCACACCCAACTCAAACAAATAGCTCAATGACCTCAGTTCACATAGCATGTGGTGTCATGAGCCTTATAACTTGCTCTCCAATTTCAAGTAACCCTCTTCTCAGTCTGACTCCTTGTTCTGAAAAAGGAGCTTGTCTATACTTCACAGCCTAAACACTGCTGCAGACCTCAAACCTATACCAAAATTAATTAAAGTCTCCTTGATTAAACTTTGAGGGAAGGGGATTCTATAATATGTCCAAGGGTAATCCATTTTATTTCTAAGATTTGCTAAAATCTCTTAAGTATCAAAGGGCAACTTCTATGCATATGGACTGTAAGTTCTGACATTATCCCCAATTAACGGAGAACTCTGTGTGGAGAGGGAGTTATGCACATACCCACAGAGAACCATTCATTTATTCAGATCACATATAATCTTGAGTAACTGTCAGGCACCAGGCACAAGGACTAGCTGGAAGACAAGGAATGAACCCAATACAGCAGGTTCTTGACTTCATTAGACTTGTGGACTAGTAGAAAAGGCAGATGCTAAACTAACACACAGCTACATGTCACTATCAATTGATGGG